GAAGAGAATCAAGAACAATCAACATGTTAAAATGTCCAAATGCTTAGAGAAACACATCAAGATTTTGTGGTGAGATCTTTGGACTTCAGAGTGGAAAAATCTGCATGGGAGCGTCCACTTTGAATTTTTGTTTTACACTTAAGAACAAAAAAGAGGAAAAATTGGTGATTAGTTTGTAAAACCAAAAATTTGAAAGTCAAATGAAAACTTAGGCGGAGACAAGAAGCAGTCAGCTTTTGGATGATGCAGGTTCTAAAAATTACCAATATTCATTTTTTTTTATATTTTTGTCGAGGCTAGCATTTCTTTCTGCAGCATCAATGAAATTAAAAGAAAAGAAATAAGACACACTTGGTCCACATGCACTTTAGGAAGACGTAAAAACTACTAGAGTTTCAATAACTTCTAGTATATAAATAAATCTTCTAGTTTATACCTGTTAACTTTCAACCAATAGTTCTATATTCTCTCAACCATACCGGCGCCTTCCCAGGAAAGAGGGTAGTGGGAAAAACGCGATTCACCAAATCCTTTGTTCCTTTTTCAACGAGTGATGATAAGAATGCTTGTCATCGATAGTTATCTTTTAATATGATCAGGGATCAAATTTGGGTCAGAAAGTCTTCATTTTGCTGCAGCATTCTGTCAGTTGTCTAGTTAGTTTCCAATAGTAGTAGTAATCAGCTTTTTCTTTAAGCCTAAACTAATTTTCTTTTCTATTTTTGTTGTACGTGTGACTTTAACGAAGTACACGATTAAAAATTCTCGTCCTAACTTTGAATTTATTTAAAACAACAATTAACAGCAGCTGTAAAAACCTTTACTTTTCTGTGTATTTACCCTCTGCTGCTTATGTGGATAAATGCGATCAGGCTCTGAAAGTGTAAAGGGACAATCAATATTCAGGTACTTAATGTAAAGGCTTTGTAACTTTCTTCTCCATCCATTGTGGTCAATTATTTTATCCTCCTTGGGGCAAAATAGTTGATTTAAAGACAGTGAGCAATTTTTTCTGTGTATCGCAAAATAACTTCATTTCTGGTACATATGTCGATTCTGTTGATGAATACGTGTTTGCTTTGCGCGCTAATGGAATATTTATTCTTTACTATTTATCTCCGGAACGTATAGTCTGTTATTCGATCCGTCTAGTTTCTTTAGATTGTGTGATATCACCGAAAAATGGACTTTACAATGAACTTTCTTAGTGGTATCAAAACAAAGGAAACATAGCACTTCGGTAAAACTGATCAAAATTAATTTTCTCTCTATAAACATTACTACAATGTCGTGTAAACTGCTGACGAGAATAAAAAACAATCAACTTGTTAAAATGTCCAAATGCTTAGAGAAACACATCAAGATTTAGTGCTAAGATCTTCGGACTTCTGAATGGAAAAATCTGCATGGGAGCGTCCACTTTGAATTGTTGTTTTACATTTGATATATAACAAAAAAAAGAGGAAAAATTGGGGATTTGTTCGTGAAACCAAAAATTTGAAAGTCAAATGAAAACTGAGTTGGAGACAAGAAGCAGTCAGCTTGTGGATGATGCGGATTCTAAAAATTACGAATATTCCATTTTTATTTATTTTTTGTTGAAGTTAGCATTTCTTTCCTCAGCATCAATGAAATTGAAAGGAAATAAAATTTAAAAAATATATTTATGTAAAAAAGAAAAATGTACTTGGTCCACATGCTCTGTAGGAAGACTTAATAACCACTAGAGTTTCGATAACTCCTAGTTTATAAATAATTCTTCTAGTTTATAACTGTTAACTTTTAACCAATAAATTCTTAATTCTCTCAACCATTTCTCAGGGAAGAGGGTAATGGGAAAAACGAGATTCATCATATGATTCAACACTTATTTGAAAGGGAAGAGAATTTTTTTGTTTATCTTGGTCCCTAATAACGCGTTTAACCGACTAGAGCATTAGAAATTCGTATTGTTAATGCAAATATTTGAAGATGAAGTGTTAATTCTAAGCACGCAAAACTTTTAGAATTCAGGAGAGATAATTGTCAGTCAGCTTATAAGAGAGAAAAAACGTGCAAACATTGTTTTTAGCAGTCTAGAACAGTCTAGAACATTCTAAATATTTACATATCCAATTCTTATAATAGTAAAACATGACTAAACATAAGAAGGTGCAAAATGGAATATTCTGGAATATTTTATAGTATTCATATTCCATTACTTACGAACAACAATAACAAAAAAGACTCCGAACATTTCTGGCTCAGTAACTTAACCTATAGCTGTGCCAAATCTGAGATTCTTTATTCTTCATTTGATAAGCAAATTTCAGTCATACAGGGAAAACGCTGTCGCCTCATTTAGATTAAAAGGAAAATGCAAATTATTGGCTAAAAACTGATGCCTTCATGCTCACTAAGGTAATGCTTGATATAGAATTAGCTCGGTTGTATATGAAATTATCCATTTTTGATAATTCAGGATACGTGCACAATTCATTTCTCTGTTTTCCATCAGTTTTGTCCTTTGGTGAATAATATGCACTAAATGTTGAAAAAAAATATATCAGTGTGCAAGATGCATGAACGAATTGAAATTTTTCGGGAGTTAAACTTACTTTAAAGTTTGAAGTAAAGTTGAATATCCTGTTTATAATTTTAGAATAAACCAAGATCTTTATCACAATATTCAAATGTCCAACGAAGTACGAACCATAGTTATCGAGAAGACAGAGTAACTCCTTTCCTTTTACAAGGTTTCAACATACATTGCCATTTTTAGAGTGCGTAAATTTTAACTGTGTATCACTGAACAATAGGCAAAGAATTCATTGGTTGCTGAATGGCTGTATTTATTAGTTTACACGTGATTTTTTTCTCATGAGCAAAAAGGCAACTAAGACAATCTCCTTTCTATTATTCTAAATTACAGAGGGGAATGTTCTAGGACAAAAAGAAGTTTTTTTCTTTCGATTGCATAATGCAGGTGATGAAAAGTACTGTTGATAAGTAATGGCAAAACAATATCTTAATTTTCAGCAGAGTTAAACAATGACTATCGTTCAACTTTCCGGCCGCTAAGAAAGTCTTTGAGGTTTTTTCCGTTTCATTTCGAAGGATACGTTTGTTCTATAGCCGAAGGAGACAAATTCATTAAAACCTCAAGATTTTTACTCCAGAAACTTGTGTATAAAACATCGAGCTGCTTCGAAAAGATTCAATTTACTAACCTCTTTTGATGAAAAAATGAAAGAGACAAATTGAGACTTTATGACTGTTAACTTTTCTTCTGCAGAAAACAAACTGAAACACATCATGATGGTACCCTCAGTGGCTAAGTGGAGTTTCATCCTCCTTTTCTGTAAGCCCTTCAGTTGTTCACAACTGTTGTCGAAAGTGTTTATTAAAACGATGAATATTTGTATTTGTTGACATTTGGGAGGGAATGGGAGCCCATCATGGGTAATGTGGGAGGAGATGAAGGGAGGAGAGTGCAAGGTTAAATGGATGAATAGAGCGAGGAGAAAAACTACGAAGTTGGCATGAGGATCTGTTGGCAATTGTTATGTCCGGCTTTCTTGAACTGCAATATGCACCAGTGCTTAAATGTAATGTACTAATCATATGGGGTGAAAACTTCTTATACCCGCGTGTAATATCAAACTGCTTCTAGGCATGCAACATGTGGTGCATGCTTGTTCGTTGGTAAGAGAAAGTGGTCCGAAACGTTCTCCTAGTCCCACTTTGAGCTCAAGACTGAACCTGAGAAAGACATTGCCACTGCAATTACCTTGTACAATCAAACTTCAAAGTAAAGTGCTAGAATAAGATGACGTCAATAAACTATTCCTCTAATTCATAAATAAACCACTTTCCTTTATCCTCTGAAACACTTTTCTCAACCAAAAACTAACCGCAAATGCAAAGAATTTGTAAGCTCTTGGTTGGAATGGAAGACAGTATTATAATAGCTAGCTGAAGCCCGTTGAACTCGAGCTCTAGATAAAATTTAAATTTTTAGTCGTGCGATAGATGTTTGTTAGCTTAGTGATCTGATATCTGATTAGTGGACTAGTGATACTTGTAAGACAGAGATCAGATGAGGTCTAATGTGGCGGCCTTTGTTACGTAAAATTGCATATATTTTCTTTCTCTTGATGTATGATATCTATTTTTTTTGTTTTTCGAAGCCAAGTAATTGACTTATTGTATTTGTTGTAGTTTTGTTAAAACATCCTCAACAAGCAAAAGGATGGGATAAAGTTCCTTCGTTTTGGGACTCACATGTTCTCTCAGCTCCAAAAGGACACTACGTGGAACTGAACTTTACCATGCGCAGCTACTGGTGGGTTCGACGACCGTGTCTGCAGGACTACTATCTTGAGATCCGTGACGGCAATAATCAGTCAGCCAACGTTCTTGGTGTATTCTGTGGAGATCACAAGGCTGCTGTAGTGCGATCCAGTGAAGGATACTTGTGGTTAAGATTTTTCCCTTCTCGCAGACATGATTTTAGTGCATACTACACTGGCAGATCCTTCAATCAAACAGGCACGATATTTCTTGTTAACTTTCTATTAAAGCATGTAGTTAAAATATTTAAATTCAATTGGAACTTCATGATATAACAATTTATATTCAGGAAATATATCGTTGGCCTACCTTACTATTACGTTTTATCGCACATTTAACAGTATTTATTCCCTTATTAAGTAGCTTTTTATCTGATATACAAAGAGACAGACGAACAGCCACAGATAGAGAAAGAGAGAGACAGACAAAGAGAGACACCGAAAGAAGTTCTCCGTGACTTTGGAGTAAAATATGATTGTCCATACACAATGTATTTGCTTTATATATTATGCCTGTGGTTTGCTTGTCCTGTATGATACAGACTATTCATCTAGCATTTGCTTGCCTTAATACATTTTTTATTATCATTATCATTATTTTTTGTTTTATGTAGCGACACCTACCATGACCCAAGTACCCAAGACACAGACTGTAATTTTTAACAGAACCTCCAACCTGTGGTGCCCGGTGGAAGGTGCGCCAGCTCCATACATTGTATGGAGAAAAAATGGTGTTGTTGTTCAAAATAGTACCAGCGTAAGATATCAGCTTGTAGCTGCAGAGAAGAATGTGAATTACAGCTGTGAGGTACGAAGAGATAATAACGTATCAAGGAGCGAAATTAGCCTCAACATTGAAGGTGAGTTTTATTCCTTACACAAGTGTAATGGAACCATATCACTTTTTTAATTGGATGCCTGAATCTGTACTATTTGGTCAATTTCTTAATATCTTGTTTAATTTCTTAGTATCCCTCCACGGCTCGCCGCCCTCGATGTAGTCGCTCCCGTAATTTGCCCCGTTCTTTCTAGACTGCGATAAATTATCAATATCTTAAACAGACTGCGATAGATTATCATTATCTTAAACAGTTCTTCGTTCGGATTAGGCTTTCTTTGATCAGCTATATCAGAATGACAATCTTTGTTTGGAAAAGAGGCCGAGTGATTATAGTGTAAAGCTTGTAATCTAGTGGTCTGGGTTCAAGCTATCCACCCTGCTACTCATTGGATTTGTGTTTTGGTTTGCCCCGCTTGGTCTTTTTTGGTTCGCCTCCGACCAGTAAGGATTTTTGCACGATGTTCGTTTACAATGTTTGTTTCAATTAACCCTTTCACTTCCAAGATCTCATTAGTAATTCTGCATACTTACTCCTGTACGATTCTTATGATCTTAGTTCTGAGAATTTGTTTCCGGATCAACTAATAACCCCTTAATTGATATTTCTCTTTATTCTCATAACTTGTCTACTTGAAATTGTATCGATATTGTAGGGAGAAATTCTCTCTTGGTCACTTCATGGAAGTTAAAGGGTCAATTTGTTTTGATTAGTTTTGGTAATTTTAGTTCTCAATTTGTTTTAATTAGTTTTTCTTAATGACCGGTAATTTTGTCATACGGTTTGTAAGCAGCATTTTATCATATCCACTTTTTAATTCGCGCAATAGAAACATTAATCGTATCTTACGTATGAACCTGAGAACTATTTTTCTTTAGTTATTCTAATTATTTAGCGCTGTTCGGCCTCTCAGAAAGACACTCTCCTCACTGAATTTTTTTTTGTTTTAGCTTAAATTCTGACTTCCCTAAATGCTGACAATGATAAGAGTTTGTTAGTAATCAGTTCAAAGTAGATACTCCAAAGTTGAAAAAATTCCGCAAATTTAAATTTAGCCTAACTTTAGAAGTTTATCTCATGAACATTCCTTTGTATACTATCATTCTAAAGATCATTACTTCTTTTTTTTCTCGATACGATAAAACAAGTTGATTTTCTTGTTTGCAATGCAAACTCAGTGATGGCATACTACACATATTTTAGCGATTTAATTATATGAACAATACTTAATGTCTAATATTCAGAGTGCCCAGGCCCTTGTGATTGCCACATTTTGAAGGGAACATACAATCTGTTGCGTGTGAGCTGTACAGGAAAAGAATTGATGTCGTTTCCGTGGAAAATTCCCCTTACCACAGCGACGTTGTGAGTATTAACAAGAGATCAATTGTTGAGGTGCCATGTAAGTTGCAGACTAAACTGCAGATTACGAAGCAAATGAATGTCATTCTTCATCTTAACTGAGTGAGAGCGACTTCTAAATCAGTCTTACACTAGCCTTTGCGTGGTGCCGTCGACGTCAATGACTGGAAATTCTTCAATATTGAATTTTTTGATCGTGGGTTTTCTACGGGGGTCATTCCTAACTAGAACTACTGTTTCCCAAGTCTGTCGAGCCATGTAAAAGGAAAACTGTACTTGTAAACTCAAGGCTGGCTACACTAAAAATTATGTTAACGTCCATGCCAGTAGGTCACAAAACAAGAACAAAGCTAAACAATAAGGCAGTACTTCGTGACTTCGTGAAGGCAAAGTGGAATCGCAAAACGGACATATTTTGTTGAGTGTGAACAATAACGGCGGAGTATGCTTTATGTTTCTATTAGAAATACCGGTACTTTATGCATAGGAAGCCCTTAGAAATTGAAATATCAAGCAAATCATGAGAACTTCAAAAAACTTAGATATATATCAATATATTCAACTGTTTTAATTATATTCAGAACTATCTTAGGTGTTACATGACTGCTTAAATGTAGCCGTAAAAGTCAAACATAACTGTGAAAAAGTAGGTCTAACGGTATGAATACCATCTCACCGAGAAATGGCTGGAACAATAGTGCAATTTATCCATTTCTGGTGTACAACGGACGAATTTGAGTAAAACTGTTCGGTGCGTACATCTGGAAGAGTTTACTACTGAATGCCGCTTTTCTTAAATTGTTGTTTTGTTATTATTAATATTGAAATATGCAACAAGGCCTTTGTGACATTTTCAAGTTACTGCATTCTGCTCTATGTCGTTTACCGCCAAGTTATTTCGAACAAGAAATGGTTTAAGATCATTGGTTCATAATCTATGCAATCATACACGTGGAAACTTGTCTACTTAATCACAGTTGAATCGTACTCCCATTTTTTTCATCCTCATTGGTTTGATAACTTGATCTACACAGTACATTTAAACAATGGGCTGTTGAAGCGAAAATATCGTGCGAAGGTGAAAAAAAGAGTTTGGAAAGAAATAGAAGCGGTTTAGAATCTCTTGATAAAAGTATCTGTCATCAGTTTTTAAAACCGTATGTATTTAACACAGTTGTATCGATTTTTTCTAACAGGGACCTGAGTAACAACCAGCTGAACGACTTGCCAAAAGACATTTTCAGCAACAATACTCACCTGAGTTGGCTGTAAGCTAAATTAAACAGATCTATAATGTTTACATTTCACTTTAAAAGGTCAGCGATATCTTAACAGGGACTGACGATGATATTTCGATCATAAATAAAAGTATTCGTCACTAACCGCGCTTTGCAAACCATGCGTATTCAACACAATAACGATTCTCATCTGGAATGGCTTTGTGCTAACATTCGTTTGCATATTCCATTGATTAATTAACAGCTTCGTTTATTCGCATTACAAACCGCTCCTATTCAAAACATATGAAGTAACATCTTAAGTGGGACTTGGGTTAGAATCAACTAAGAGATTGGCCACAGAAAGTTTCCAGGAGCAATAACCAACTTTGGTTGTCAAGTAAGACCTTTCCCTAATCTACTGGGCGGGGTTGTTTAAAGCTGGGTTAAGATAACCCAGGGTTAGTGTGTGTGAAATCTGATTTCAGATCCGAATTCTTTTTTTCTGGAATGTGATAATTGGATGCTCTGAAAGCGATATAGAAAATTATCTCAAAGAGGCTTTTGAATAACGGAGCAAAAAGAAACCCAGATTAAAATGTAACCTTGAGTTAGCGCTTATCGGCATTCGATCGTGATATGAAAAATTTCTTGAGGTGGAGTTGAGTAAACAACCGGCTGCAAAGCTTTCTGTTAGGCATACCTTCAGCTCAATGAATTGGAGGCTGGAATCTAAAAAGGCAAAACATTATAATATTTTGAAAAAAGTTAGTTTTTGCAAAGAATTACGAATTTCTAAACCCTTAAGTTAATTGATATTGTTAATAATAGCACACTTCGATTACTGATTCATCGATGTATTCCTTCCCAACCTGGCGTAAAACAAGGGGTCCATCCAACCTGGAGAAGGCATCAAAATGGTTGCAGATGTCAAAGAAAAGTTAGATAAATGGCGATACAGCAGGGCTTACTCAAAAGTTTTTATTTCTATTATTATTTTTTTTCTTGTATACATATTTTTAATTTTTTTTATAATGCAACGATTTTATGATAGGAACTTGGGCCAAAACAAGCTTAAAAAGTTACCGCAAGACATTTTCAGTAACTATACCAAGCTGAAGGCACTGTAAGTTACCACCGCTCATTTATAACCTAAATCAGTGGAGGCTTATGTTATAAAACTTTGTATGGGAGTTTCCGCCCCTCTCTGTAACTCCGTAGATAACGATAATTTTTCGATGCTCTGCAGCGCGAGAGCCAGATAGTTTTCCCCAATTTTATTTAAATATATTCCATAGAACTTCTGCCAAATATTTGGACACCTTTTAAGCGCGGGAATTCCACTACGGAAAGCATCATTCACATGTTGCCTACTTTCTACAGTCTCAAAGGGCGAATCCGACACAAAGCTTTTTTTTAAATAAATATTTCTTTCCTCGGGTGGCTGAATGTCATTCTTGGTCTAGTATATTAGACTATGGACTGATCTTTGGGGAGAAATTCGAGTCGTGTCTAGGCCGACCATTTCCTAACGGTCTCCGGGTTTAACAAGACGTTCTTGCCGCGGGTTCGCAGGACTTTAAAGTGGCTGGTCATTTAGAATTCTCGCTGGAAAGTTAGAGAGCGGAGCTAAAACTTTCGTAAAGGCTTATTTCTCATAGAGAACTTGGGCCACCTGTAACCGAATTTCACTCAGCGAGTATAGTCGTCAATTGTAACATTAACAAAAAACAATAAAACTTGATCAACAGGGAAGGGAAGATTTGTTGTTCGTTACATACATTATCAGAGAAAACACAATGTAAAGAAAGCAATGCTGGGGTGGCTCTACCTCAGACCCTCCTTTCTTGAATAGTCGCTTTACCAAGTCAACAACACTGGTTAATTTCGCCATTCACAAGTATTTCGGTGATAAGTTTCCAAAAGAACAGAGAAATGCCGCATGATGCATCTTTAAAAGAAAGCAATTTCCTGAAAAATTACACAGTCACGTGATATTGCAAAGCATCTATGGTTACCATGCGACAGTTCAAAACAGGGTCAGGTTAGACGAATAGAGTTGAAGGTGTTCTTTTCCCCGTTGTTCCATGTGGTAATGAGTGTAGGAAAGAGCATGGAAAAGTGATATTTTTAGCAAATCAATATTTCCTGAATATTTCATGTAGCGAAGAAAGACAAAAAGACCCAGTTACAACATCGTTTTTCGAAGCTCCCAAGATTTTGACACTTTCACCATTAGGAGGTCTCAATTAGTGTTGTCTCAAATTAAAGCTTTTCTATCTTCTCTGGGGCCTTCATACATCAAGCCTAAACGATGAGATCAGTTCTTGAAAGACATTAGTTTGATAACTTGTATATTTTAGGCTCTTGTATAGGGCACGAGAAGAAAAAAACATTTCTTTCGAGCATACTCATTCCTTGAATTTTGTTGTCGAATACCACACAATTTACACCACATTTACTTATTTTTGATAGGCTGTTGAACAACAACCAGTTGAACCAATTACCATCAGGCATTTTCAGTAACTATACCCAGATGGAGTTGCTGTAAGTTTGGAACCTTTGTTCATGTGTAAGGAACGCGTCTAATGCTTTTCGCACTTGTGGGAATAGCAGCAGCTCAGGGCAACAATTTGTCAGCTCCAATCAAAACTAGTCACGAGAGAGAAATGTTCTGGCTTCTTAAAAATTGAGGCCGGGGAGGGGGGGGGGAGTGAGTGGTGCGTGAGATGTACTCTTTGACGTTAGAGAATTTTATTTACTATTTTATTTACTCGCGGTACACTATTTTCCTTTAAAAAAAGTTTGTTTGTGCTGCCTCAGCTTAAATTAAAGCTGCCACGGAGTCGTCATAAAAATTTGCAGAAAGTGTTTAGATTGCATAAACTTGGCAAAAACTATCAAGTGGAAATTGAAATCGCGGACAGCAAACGGAATTGCCATAAATGTTGAGCGCACATTTGCATTCGAAGGTTTTTTCCGTTGTCATGTAGATAAGATTGTCATAAGTATCTAAAGGAAAATACACTTTGTTTTTCGGTACAATTTTCTTAATAAAATGACCAGCCTAGCAATAGAATCTTTTTAGCTGTGTAGTCACGTAGTTTCTGATGGGTAAACAAGGATTTGAAATGGCTGCTCGTGTGTGCCGCAGACGACATTTTATGGACGAAATTCCTTCGTGTCTCGCCGAAATGTTCATATTCGCGGATAAATCAGCACTCTACAGACTGTGGTAATAAAAAATCGGCGGCAGTTGAGGTGGAGTATTTTTAAAACATTAATTGAGATTATTAAAAACAAACTTACGATCACACGATCTTTAAAGATCAAAAATACATTGCTTTGTTTTTGTTCTTTTTTTTGTTTGTTTCATTTGTTTTTGTTTGTTTGTTTGTTTTTTAATGCAAATATTTTTTTTTTGTCGGAGCACAAATTTCTCATCACACGATACCGGCACACGATACCGGCTGTCTCATGAGCAGATCAAGCGCTGACGAAATTTGACAGCTCTGAATTTTTTAAGCGGATGCAAAAATCGAGAAAAACATTTGTCATGACACAATTTGTCCTTTAATTTTGTCAAGAGAATTCTGGTTTTGTCTGCTGGTGCATATAGGCCAGATAGGCACTTACGAATCAATTGTTAGTTAAACAATAGCTGTCACTCTCGAGAAATTGCAAATATTTTACTCATGTAATCGACAACAACTTTAATTCCGAAAAACTCGAAAACATCTCCAGTCAGTCTGGCTTTCTTTCACTGCCTCACATTTTCCCTCGTGCTCTTGGTGGCAACAAGTATTTTCACCGTATTTCCAATGTTTCCTAAAGTGTTCGGATGTTTAGAACATACCAGCAACTGTTTTAATTTTTCATGTCGAGGCCAAAATGACCAGAATGAAACAAAAATAACTTGTACTCGAGGATTTCGCTGGATAGCTGGTAGTACTTCATATGACTCGATACGTCGTCCCGGCATTCCAAAAGAGAAATCAGGTGCTTTCCATAAATCAGGTAAACATTTAAAGAGATTTAGAGTAACTAAGTTTGGTTTCGCGAGACAGGTCATATGACGAGGGAAAATTTGCACATTCACATCACGTAATGCATCAAGCTGGCTTTGTTCAGTTGATTTTGATGGTCGCAGGGAAATGTCGATTTCGTCGCTGAAAACCATTGTGGTCCATTACAGCGTAACATTATTAATGATGGCAACAAATTTGCAGAAAGGAGGGCGAGTTCATCGCGTTCCATGTACCAAAACTCGGGAAAAACTGCAAGAACTCTTTCAGAGTGTATGCGTGTTGTCTTGTAAATATAAACACTGTTACGTATTTTAACTTGTTTTTGTGTCCTTTTAAGCAACGCGATATGTCTGTAATGACCAGAGTGCCAAATTTTATTCTCTAATTTTGATCTTCTCCACACTGTGCGTCGTTCATGACCTGATATTTCAACGTAAGTTATCGAGAAGGCGCCTCCTGATCACCTTTTTTGATTTTGTAAGTCACGCGAGCGCGCGAGCGTTACGACTGATCACATTTACGCAACGTTTAAGGACAACCCGGCATCTATTCTCCATTCAGTTGTCATGAAACCTAAAATCCTCAACGTAGAAGATAAACGAACGAAGTTTGAACGGTCAAAAGGAGATCCTGGTCAATTCTCAGAATTTTCAAATATTCTTTGCCACAAGCGCAATTGAGAAAACACGTGAATTTACGTTTCCTTCAAGATGTTGGTGGATGGAAACTAGAGATATATCCGCGGGTTTGAGGCAATCGATGATCTCATTGGTGTTAAACTATGCACTGATATGCTTTATTAGCCCGATTAACGCCTGCATTTGGACAATTTTTTCGTTCAAATTGGTGATATAGAAAAGAAGTTTCCTTATTTTGTCTGTGAACCAACTGAACAAATCTTGTAACTTGTAGCAAGATAGAATTTCGTGAGCTATGTTATTGCAGTGCGCGCTGGACAAAATCTGTGAAATTTACACTTTTAATCGCTCTCCACAAGTGTGGTCTCTCCAAAAAAAACTTTTTTGGCTTGTGGCAACGCAAAAATAGAGAATTGGAGAACAACTATACTATTTTTGAAAAATGTTTTGTAAACCCTTTTCATGGGCAAACAATAAAAGAAAACTTTTTTCTGACGGGAAGTCGAGAGGACCGCTCTTAGCGAGAGGGGCAATCAACGCTGGAAAAAGTGTATTGAATCAGGAATAGTTTTGTTGAGATTTTTTGCTTTCATAACCTTAGATATAAATGAAAAAGGTGTTTAAAAGAAATCGCGTAAATATAGCATACAATGAACATGAAAGAAGCATTATTTAACAGAAACTTTTTTTTGTTCCGTTCTGACAACTCCATCTATGAAAAATCTTGTAATAAAAACGTGTATATTTGAAGCCCTTCTGTCAGAACATGAGAAAGGAGGTAACAACTTTTTGTCGAGCATTCTTATTCTCTTTAATGCTGTCGTCGTATACCATGCAATTTGATAGGCGGTTAAACAACAACCAGTTCAAGAATTTACCATCAGGCATTTTCAGTAACAATAACCAGCTGAAGAGACTGTAAGTTTGGTGTCTTTTTCAATATTGGTGTAAGAGGAACACATTGAACCCAACCTTCAAAGCAGACATTTGAATGCGTGGGTAATATCACATATTTTTTTAAGGAAAATTCGTTCCCTAAATAGATTGTTAAAGAAAGATTTGTGAGGAAATTTGTTAAAGGAATCATTCAAGGATGGAATTTCCCCCTTTGACCTTCCCCTCTTCCTTAACCAGTCTGGTTATCAAGTCAAGAATATTCTAGGCAGCTCAGTGTTCAGGTCTGCATGTGTTTCAGTTTTCTTCTGATTATTCTCCTTTGCACGAAGAGTTGACAAAAAAAAACAAAACAAAACAATAATCAGCGAAAACCCAGTATGGATGAGCCAGTCAAAATACTTGAAGAGTAACAACTGAGAAGGAGACTTTAAAAATGTGGCAGGCACCCTTAAGCGTCTATATAAAAGAAAATGAAAGTAGCCTCTCACAAAAACTTTCGAACAGCATCTTTCTCTAATCCCGTTGTGAAATACTTTGCATCGTCCATTTGTTCCCAACATATTAAAGTTTATAACTTAAACAAGCCTTAAAAACAAACAAACAAACAAGAAATAATAATAATCTTAAATGTAAAGTGCCTGGAGCTCTTAAGAACAAAAATAATTTTTGATAAGATGTGGTCTACACTACATGTCAGTTTGAATTGTAAGGCCTTATGTATTACAACAATGGGTGATCAGAGGAGAGGGAGGGAGAAGAGAGGAATTTTTAAAGTGTTATATTGTTTTCGGTGCTTTGAGTAAAGAAAACACTTTAAGTAATTTTGTTCAACAAAATAGCTGATTATCTTGTCGCAGACTGAAATATGAAAAATAGAAAAGAAAGCATCTGTTATATGATACTTTAAGTTTATTTGCAGGCATTTAGTATGGATCCTGACCTTTTATAGTAGGTGGAATGTAATTAACACCGCTTTTCAGCTGTGTGGTCACGAAATTTAAAATGGTCACCCAAGAATTCGAAATGGAAAGAAAAGTGAACGATGTGACATGAAACAGAATATGAAAGTGACCTCAAACAAAAAATTTTAACGAAAACTTTCTCTAATCCCGTTGTGAACTAATTTACTTCGGTGTTTATTTCCACAAACTGAAGTTTATAACTTAAACAAACCTAAACATGAAACTTGAAAAAAGGAAAAAAAAACCCTTGGTTAAAACCCAAAGCAAATCCAGGACCGAAAAGGCACAAAACTTGTCTGATAATAAATGATATGCAGTCCTTAGCGTGACAAGGTGTCGTGGTTCACCTAACCTTCAATGATTTGCGAAGCTAGAATGTGTTTTTCCCACTTGGTTTTAGCCATACCCTACTACCGAAACGTACTTGTAGTATATGCGAAAAACTAAATGTAACGTTCAGTACTCCTGTCTAACTCCATCGCGGGGAATTATGATTTTCATAAGTCTCGTTATCATTGTGGTAGTGGTTTTATAAGGGTCGTAATAATATATCACATCCGACAAACTTTGTAGCCTCATGCAATCAGATGCACGTATGTAGCGACGAACGAAATTATGAATCACGTCGCTACCGTCACACCGCCAATGAATTGTTAAACCGTTTGTATTTTTGAACGCAGCGCTGGTGGTTATTATCACACGTTATTGTTCGCCTTGTCATCACATCATAAAATTATACCGATCGAGAAGCTGACATCCTCCAGGTGAATCATGAAAATTCTTTATGAACGCACGAGAAGATAATATCAAGCCGTGAAGGCCGTCCAAACTAAGGAATCTGAGCGCATGCTCTTACAGAACATTTTTTTAAATGTAGGGTATCGGAAATGCCATTTCCTTTTTTTCTTTTTTTTTTTTTGGCAATTTAAGCACTTGTTGGCGGTTTAGTTTCCCCACCTCTAGTATTATTGGTAAGGCACAATTCTACGGCTGGCTGCGGAAACCAGTACATACATTTGTACACCGATATCATTGCAGCTATGTGGCACCGTTCGAAAAGGCCACCTCTAGGCATGTTTAAAAACCAAATTTCCCGTATGGAAACCCAGACAGGGCCGCACATCAGCCAGTCATAACACAAGAAAATTGTCCTCACACTTTTCTGCCAACGTCTGTCTATTCCACACATTCTTAATTAACAGTTTAATATTTTTCCCTTTCAAACTTCCTTTGATATCTTTTAATTAACGACCCTACCCCCCACCCTAAAGCAAATAAACGTCGCCTGGCTCATTTAGTGGTCTACACTTCATATCAGTTCGAATGATAAAGCCTTATGTATTATAGCAATGGGTGATTGGAGGATACAGAGGGAGTAGAAAGGAACTTTAAAGTGTTCAGTTGTTTTCAGTGCTTTGAATAAAAAAAAAACCCTAAGTCATTTTGTTCTACAGTATAGCTCGTTTTCTTATCGCAGACTAAAAAGTAAGCATCGCTTTATTGACGCTAATAGTCTGTTTGCAAGCATTTTGTGTGTTTTCTAACCTTTCTTAATTGGTGTAACTTACTAAAAACCACTTTTAAATGTTTTTTTTGGACAAAAACTTTCTTCTGAATTCTGTTGTGAACGATTTTGCATTGGCGAATTTTCCCCAACAAATTGAAGTTGACTAGTGAAACAAATGCCTTGGATAAAATCCAATGCAAATCCAGGACAGAAAGGCACAAAACCTGTCTGAAAATAAAGAATAAATGGTCTTGAGGGTGACAAAGGATCGTGGTTTGCCCAACCTTCAATGATTTGCCGAGCTAGAACGTGTTTAATTTTGGTTTTCGCCTTACTCTACCACCGAAGTATATACGAAACCAGTGAGATAATAAAGCACAAAGAGATGACTTTAACTGCTATAACCCTGCAACGATTAAAAGTGCAAATCTCGCGTGCTTTGCCTAGGGATAGCTAAGCATTGCTTTGACGTAGTATATAAACCACTTGGGATATTTAGGGAACGCGAAAACAATTTATAAGCAATAACATGCCAATGAAGAATTCTTCATGATAGTCTGTAAGGAAACCTTTTAAAGTTAGCGCGCCTAGAAAGCAGCTTTACTTGCGGAACTTTCTTATTTTGAAAAATAAATCCAGTTGTAGGATTTTAACAGGTGGAGTTTATTTTAATTGTGAGGGTTTAACTTTCAATTCTATAATAACATTACTAGACCACATCACGTCTGAAGGCGGAGAATTCGAAAGACAACAACATCGAGCCGTGTGTCGTGTGTACTGATTCAAACGTCGTCCAGCTATTTTGTTTACTCGCAATACACAATTTTCTCTTTAACAATATTTGTTTAAGTTGTCTCAGCCATGGAGTCGTTGTTTACAGTGTTTAGAATGCTTAAACTTGGAAAAAACTATCAAGTGAAAGTTGAAATCGCGGACAGCAAACGGAATTGCCGTAAATCTTGAGTGCACATCTACTTTCGAAGGGTTTTTTTCCATATAATTATGTAGACAAGATTCTCAGAAATATCCAAAGGAAAATGTATTTAGTTTGCCCGTGCAATTTTCTTGAAGCAGTTCATACCAACATACCATGATCTTGGCGAGTACTTTGGAGAGCTTTAGTGGAGAGTTTCTGAGGGTCTTTCACTTTAAAACGTCGAAAACGGAGCAACCCTGCAGTAAAACTGAATTTTGAATGTTAAAAAAAGATCATATTGTTAGAAAAGTTAATTTTTTGTAGTTGTTTTTGGCGTTCAAAGTGTTCTTCTCGTTTCTTCCAAACCAAAAGAAAATTAAAATTAAAATTAAAATTTAGGAGTTCGCCAGCAGTAGCGCCATTTGACAGCAGGACGGGAAGATGTTTCACTTTTATTTGATTTTAAAAGGAAATAACAGTAGATTTTTGATTAATCAGAGCGTGCGTTGTGTCTAAGTTATGTTATGACATAGCGTATTGGGTATTCTGACTCTGCTACCAATGCTTTATTGAATCATGAAAAATACTCGCTCACAATATATGACTATTTGACAAAGGTGACAAAAGTCACGAAGATGCAAAAACTAAGCAAAACGACAATCACCAATAAAGACTTGTAGGTAATAAAGTGTTTTCAATAAATAATAATTGTGTTCATTCAGACTCTTCAACACCTGTCTTCAGGTCGACACAAAGCAATTCCACGCTAAATACTTCACTTCGTTGACCAATCAGAATGCGAGATTTTATTCAATTATACGATTCTGAGACTGAATAGAGGTTTCAAAGTCATCTGACCCGACTCGCTTTGTGTACTGAAGAATTTTGCCTGCTACAGTTCGCAAGACATTGACAAATGTGTACCTAGTTTATGTCACTTCATTCATGACCAATAGGGAAACCAAATTCGATAGGTATCCAGTTTGATCACAACGAATGCTGCTTCATCAGCCTGAGAATAAACCTACATTTTCTCGTTCATAAAAGTATTTTTCACGCATCGATGGAAGTTAAATAGGAATTGGTCTTAAAACTGGATGATAACCGGTTATAAACAAAAAACGAGTTTTTTTTAAAATTTTTTTTTATTTCTTTTCTCGCTCCCCCTCTCAGATAGATCCCTCTCTTGCCCCCTGTTCTCCCGGGCTCCCTCCCCCCTGTCCCCCTGTTCCACCTGTCTCCCTCCACTAAGACCAAAACCTAAGTAAAAACTGACGACCTCATAGATAAAGGTCTTACCTCAGTGGGCTTTTCGCACCGTTCGATGAGGCCGCCTCTGCGCATGTTCAGAAATAAAATTTCCCCTATGGAAACTCAGATTGTGCCGTGTCTCAAACGTTCGTAACACCAGAAAACGTTACTCATTCTTCTCTTCTAAAGTCTGTCTATTCCAGACATTCTCTGTTATTAGTTCAATATTTTTCCCTTTCAAACTTCTTTTGATATCTTTACCGACCCTACTCCCCACCCTAAAACAAATCAATGTCGCCTTGCTTATGATGTGGTCTACACTACATATCAGTTTGTATCGTAAAGCCTTATGTAATACTGACAACAGTAAGTGATTGGAGGAGATGTAGGGAGAAGGAATTTTAAAGTGTTCAATTGCTTTCAATACTTCGATTAAAAGTCTCAAAGTCCTTCTGTTCTACAGTATAGCTTGTTTACTTATCGCAGATTAGTCATTCTGTTCTTAAAAATAGATCATTGTCTTGCCCTAGACTCAAATATGGAAAATCGAAAAGAAAGCATCGGTTCCTTGCTATAGGTTTGTTTGCAGGCATTTATTGTGGATCCTGGCCTTCTTTAATACGTAGAATGTAATTAACACCACTTTTTCATGATTTCTTGCTAGGTGGTTAGACAACAACCACTTGAAGGAATTATCACCAGACATTTTTGATAAAAACTTCTTGTTGCGGGACCTGTAAGTTTATACCCTGCTTCAATATTTATGCTAAAGGGGCCTTAAACCCAAATCTACGCAAAAACCAAGGTAAGCAAAAATACAGTCACCAACAAAGACTAGTGCGTAATAACGTGTTCCCAATTCGTAATAATTGTGCCCATTCAGTCTCTAAGAAAAGATAAGGAATGAAAATTACATCGAAACAGATTGGTAGGGGTACCAATTGTTCGAGTTTAAGTCTTTCCTCTTTAGAAATTCTTCATAGCTTACAGCTATTCAGCCAAGTGGAGGTAGCCAGTGTTTTATATTTACCAAGCTGCAAAACGGCGATTTAAATATCCACCACTAGCCACCGATACTGATGTGAGTAGTTGTTTCCATTTATAATAAAACAATGGGATAATACAGCACAAAATGCTTTTTTAACTTATTCATTCCCGCGACTATTATAATGCTTTCGGGCGCAAAGGTTACATAACCTTAGATGTAAATATATACAAAAAAGTTGTTTGAATCAAATCGCGTAAAAAATAATTTACATAAACGTAAAAGAAGCATCATTTAACACAAACTTTTTCTTTATTCCGTTGTGACAAATCCATGTCCGGAAAATAATGTAATATTAATCAACTGTATATTTTAGGCCCTTATATCAGAGCAGGAGAAAAGAAGTAACAAATTTTTTTCGAGCCTCTTTTTCTCTGAACTTTGTTGTCGTTAACCATGCAATTGAAAATATATTAACTTATTTTTGATAGGCGGTTGAACAACAACCAGCTGAGGAATTTACCATCCGGCATTTTCAGTAACAATACCAAGCTGGAAGGGCTGTAAGTTTGGAGTCTTTTTTAATATTGGTATAAGGGGAACGCACAGAATCCAACCTTGAAAGTAGGCATTTTAATGCGGGGGTGCTATCGCATCTTATGGGTTATATCCTAATAAAGGAGCATTAACACTTGGACTGAAAATGTCCTTGGAGACATGCATTGGTTTCGGAAAATTCGTTCCGTGATAGATTATACACAAAGAAAAAAGAATTGTAAACAAATTTGTTAAAGGAATCATTCGAGGATGAAATTTCCCCCTTAGACCCTTCCCTCTTTCTTAACTACTCAAGATATCAAGTAAAGAATATTCTATGCGGTTCAAAGTTCAGGTCTGTGTTTCAGTTCTCTTCTGATTATTCTCATTTGCACGAAGAGATGACAAAAAAAAATTAAAAACAGTCAGCCTAGTGACAACTGTACCCTTGTTCAATTTGACCGAGCCCAGTTTGAATGAGCCAATCAAAACACTCGAAGTGCAACAACTAAGAATAAGAATTTTAAAAATGTGTCATACACCCTTAATTTCTCTTCAAGTGTCTATGAAACAATATTACGGTATGCCTTAAATCTACAAACTTTGCTAATCTGAAGAAAATGATTGATAGGCCAGAAGGGGGTAGCAATACCATTAACCAGCCCTTCCTAATTCGAGAGCCAACTTTCAAGCGTCTCCGAATCATCTAACCTCGAGCTCAGTGGACTTACAAAATACTATTGGTAAACACCTCGATATATGACGAACTCCTGTGGATTTCTAAAGTTTTTATAGAGATATCCGGGTCCCTATAACCGTTATTCACTTGACCCGCTGCTGGTTATATTTCTAATAAAGTAGATGTAGGCGTAATACGGGCAACATAAAACTTGTGAGAAAACCTCATTTCTTGAAAAGTGATATTCCACGCTGGAATGTATCTAAGACAGATCACAAAACGTACTAAATTGCTGTCGTGCTCGATAAGGTGCATTTGAACTAAACCAACGGCACCCAGAAATTTGTCAGCGATCATGAAATAAAAATCCTGATAACGATTTGTGATAGGAAACAAAATCAGGTAATGGGAAAAGACCTTTCTCTCTGCTGATATGCATTATTTTCGAGCGCTTAAATTAGGGTTGTTTCCATTATTTCCTTTTTCCAAGCCATTTGGAGGAAAAATTTGTTCTTTTTTAAATTTGTGAGAGGAGGTAGGAATATTTAGTGGAAGAGAAGTGTGTACAACATGGAAAAAGAGAAACTTTTTTTTTAAAAAAAGAGATTTGATGAAGAAAGTTTTATGCATGAAAAATTGCAGGATATAATGTAAAATAGAATATGAAAGTAGCCTCAAACGAAAACGTTTCAGCAAAAACTTTCTCTGAATCCTGGTGTGAAAGACTTTGCATTGGCGATGTTTTTTCGATGTATTAAAGTTTATTACTTAAAAAAGCCATAAAGAGAAGGAAAAAGAAAATGGTAAGAATAAATGTAAAATGCACTCGAGTTTTTACGGACAAAAATTCTTTTCCTTTAAAAAAAAAAATTTTTAACCTTCAAGGCGTCATGTTTTTCGCTAGACGTGGACTCCTTTGCGACATTTTCGCGTCAAACAGTTTTTAGCATACTTCAACTCGACTTTGTCTACATTTGTGTTTGAGTCTTTTTTTTTTCTCTGAACATAAGATCTTGTCATTTCTTCATCGAGAAACCTGGAATAAATAATATATAGTCTTGACCGTGACTAAGAGTCAAGGTCAAACCAAGGAGTCAAGATTTGCGAAGCTGGAAAATATTTTTCCCTCCTGCCTTACCCTACTGCCGAAACGTGCTTGTAGTATATACAAAAACAGTGAGATAATATAGCTCAAAGATATAATTTTAACTCCTATTACCCTAGCTGAGCAATAAACCAGACTCTTTTTATCGATTTACCGTCGTCTGTAAACCACTTGGGACGTTGAGAGAACACGGAAAAAAGGTTGTAAATAATGACGTGCTACTGTAAGATACTTCATGATAGTCTGTACGGAAAGCTATTAAAGTTTGCAAGCCTAGGCAGCAGTTTTAATATATTCCGGAACTTCTTTAGCATGAAAAATAAAGTCAGTTGAAGAAATTCAACTGATGTAGTATGCTTTTCGAGACGGCACCTCAACTGAAGGCGGAGAACTCGAAAGACAACAACATCGAGCCGTGTGTCGTGTGTACTGATTCAAACGTCGTTCAGCCATTTTGTTTACCCGCGGAACACTATTTTCGGACTATATAAGGACTACATAGTCTTAAGCGTGATAAAGAGTTGTAGTTTGCCCAACCTTCCATAATTTGCGAAGCTGTAAGATGTTTTTCCATTGGTTTTTAGCTCTACCCGACTACAAAGACGTACTCGTAGTATAAAAAAAAAATTAACCTGCAACGATTACAAACTCAGATCTCGTGTCTCTTGTTACTCCAGGAGGTGAAAAGCCAAGCAATAAACCAGAGTTTTTTTCATCATTTTTTTAACGTCGTATATAAACCACTTTGAATGTTGAGAGGACCCGAAAAAAAAGTTTCTAAACAATGACTTGTTTCTAAAGAATGCTTTAATTTGGAGGGAGAAAAAAAACCATGAAAGCCCAGTTATGCGCAAGTTAAAAACCTGAAATTCCTCGTCTGGAAAACAAGAATTAAACCCGCGAGTCAAAAAGTCGTAACACAGGAAAATGAGCAGTCCCAGCAATAAACCTTTTAAGCGGTGTGGTCACGTAGTTTGAAATGGGTAAACAAGAATTCGAAATGGCCGCTCAAGTATGTGCCGCAGACAACATTTTATGGACGAAACTCCTTCTGCTTTGCCGAAAATTTCATATTCACTGATAAATCAGGACTCTAAGTGATTGCGCTAATATAGGAATCGGCGACGATTCAAGTCAGTCTCAGAGTTCGGAGCCATGGATGTTGACACTTAATTACAGATTGCAAGAGGTCGACTGCCGGTCACGGCTCTCAAATAACTAAAGGACTTGCAGTTGGAAATTTGCTGAAAATTTTGGAAATCGTGATGGCCCATACATTCCTGGTCATTATATGTTGATGAGGAAACTTCCAATAGCGATCTTCAAGAAATCTATAAATCTCAAATCCAGCGTTAGGTTGACGCTGACTCACAATACATGAATTTAGAAAGTCCGTGATATCACACGGGATGTATTGAATGCGCTTTAATTGCAAAAAAGAAAAGAAAAACGAAAAGAAATAAGAATTACATCGTAACAGACTGGTAGGGGTAATACTAGTTCGAGTTTAAGTCTTTCCTCTTTAAGAAATGTTGATAGCTAACAACTACTCAGCGAAGTGGAAGTAGCTAGTGGTAGATATATTTACCAAGGCCCAAAATGGCGCTTTAAGTATCCATTATTAATGCTGATGAGAGTAATTGTTTTGGTGAATACTAAAACAGTGAGATAATATACCATTAAAATATTGTTGAAGCTCATTTATTCCTAGAACGATGATATACCATTCTAGTGCAAATCCCACGCAAATGTCTCGGCGGTAAGAAGCTGAGGATATTCGGAGTTTGAGTAGCTTTTTACAGCGCCCCTTCAGCGTTTTTCACAGTGTTAGTAGATAACTTTCACAAATTCTAAAAAAATATCTGAATTTAGTTTTTTCAAAAGCTAAGGTCGACGGTGGAACGAAACGGGCACTCTTAAACCTGCAGAGCGACCTGGCTTAATTTCTTAATTTCTGAATTAGACTCAAAATTGATACAAAATACTCTAAATGACAGTGGCCCTAAAAATAATGGGATGTATGCATGTTTGAATATGGAGGTTTGAGTGTTCACATAATTTTTTTTTATTTCAAAGAATATGGCATGACTTTCTACTTTTATCAAAATGCTAAGAAAGGGAAGACCAGTTTGAAAGAATTAATTTTCCTTTTTCTAAATTTATTAGAGAAGAGTTTAATACCTACAAATATTAGCATTGTTTTTATGGTAATCTCCTATAATTCCCTTGCACCTCTCAAATGAGAAGCACCAAAAATAGAAAACAGGTCCATAATCAAGTATGCAATCCTTAAAATGGCCATGAAGATGCATGTTTGGTGTGCACTTCTCCTTCCCGCAGAGGGCTTCAAACATTACCAAAAATCACATCAGCTTTTGGTCAGCTTCCAAACACTCCTCCTTGGTGATAACTTTTTTGCAAAGCAGTTGACAGG